AGCCACACACAGCCCCACACTGCAGGTGCAGGAGCCACACACAGCCCAAGGCCTGCACAGCCCCACACCGTGGGCATGAGAGCCCCACACAGCCCCACACTGGGGGTGCAGAAGCTTCACAGAATTCAAGACCAACACAGCCCCACCCTGGGGGTACGGGATGCCCACACAGCTCCCTATTGTGGGTGCAGGAGCCCCACAGAGCCTGAGCCCCATGCTGTGGGTGCAGCAGCCCTGCCTGGCCCCACCCCGTGGGTGCAGGAGCTCAGATCAGCCCAGATTCACATCCCAGCAGCCAGGTGTCTCCAGAAGCACCCGTGAGAGAAGGGAAGGGGCATGTGGGGACACGGTGGCCTCTTGCTGCCAGGGGGGTGACCCTCGCCCGCCACCGGATCCGGAGGGAGGGAAGGAGGAAGCGTGAAGCCCTCCCTCCCCCTCCAGCCCTTCCTGGTGTCGAAACACTGGAGACACGAGGCAGGAAGTGGCGGCCGCCGCTGCCCATCAGGGACTTGGGGCCCCACGCCATGGGCTGGCAGGCCCCATGCCCCCCAAGACCCTGGCACGCTGCCGCACAGCCAGATTCCACTCTCCTGCCCTCTCCCTGCCATGGATCCCATCCCTTAATGAGCTCGTTAGGCACCCGGCCAGGGCTAACGATGGCTTTATTAGGTGGCCAATAATTGAGTGGGGTCCACTGGATCTCGGTTGGGAAGATTTATGAGGATTTGATTCCCCCGGGCACTGGAGCGGGGTCTGATGGCAACGCCATCAATTGCCTTTGAACCCAGGGCGGAGGAGCCGGGGTTTTCACCGGCTCTCACGCTAACGAGGCTGGCGGGCGGCTCTAATTAGCCAGAGCCACGTTAGAAGGGACCTCCAGGGATAAGGAGCCGCCAGCAACCACATCACACGCTCCGGCACAGCCCCGCGGCGGCGGCCGGTGGCTCCGTGCCAGCCACGCCGGGATGAGCCCGGAGCACCGTGCCAGCCCATCCCAAAGCTAAAGCATCCCACAGGCCCAGTCCTGCATCCTGCATCCCCGCTGCATCCATCCCTGCCGGCTGCATCCATCCATCTATCCCCTGCCAGGCTCAGCAGCAGCATCCCCCACCCAGGTCGGAGCTCCACCGACTTCCTTGGCAAGGAAACGCCTTGGCTGTGGGATCCGGGATGTGTCTGGATCCTGCTGTTATTACCAGAGTTTGCTCTCTAAACAACATCCAGGAAGCAGGAGTCTCCTGTCCTGGGCCACCTTCCAGGGCTTCTTATCTTCCCAGTGGAGATCCCTGTCCTGCTCCCAGATCCTATGGCTTCATCTGGGGGAATGAATGGGACGGCAGACGGACTGGGCTGCCCCAGCACACTGGGATGCTGCAGAGGGGCTGGATGGGACCACGGGGTGCCAGGAAGGGTGCGAGGGGTGCCTGGTGCCAACCAAGGTGGGCTCTGCTGCACCAGGACCACCACAGAGCTTTCCAGCCACCGGGAAACCACCCTCGAGCCACCAGCCAGGAAGCCCAGTGTCCAGGCATCCCACGTGGGGCACTGGCTGCCCTGGCTGGGTGCTGGCTGGGAAGAGCCAGGAAGGATGATCAGTGGTGCCAACAGCCACCAGCTCTGCTGTTTCCTCCATGGAGCTGCTTCCTCCAGTTCTTCCCACTGCAGGGCTCGGTGGCTCCTGGGAAAAGTGGGGTGCACAGAAGGAATCAGCAGAAATGGGCTTTTGGCGTGTCAGATGGTAAATCAGCTCCTGCAGCTCGACCTCCCGACCAATCCAAGTGGATTTGGGGTTGGAGATCCAAACTGGAGACGAAGGAGGATTTGTCAGCCTAATTCTTCCCCTCCCCAGCTCCCTCTGTACGCGCTGCGTAGGCAGGGAGAAGATCAGCTCCTGCCCCTCCTGCTGGCATGCCTGCCGATGGGAATGCCGATGGGAATGCCACTCAGCGCCTTCCCCCGGCACCCGAAAACATCTGTGGGCAGAGCCAGCTCATCCCAGGGATTGCACCCAGGGGTGGGGGGAACCCAAGGGGTGCTCCAGCCCCCTGATCTGGGGGACTACTTGCCCGCTCCGGGGGTGCAACCTGCCGGCTCTCAAGGATTCGGGATGCTGAGCCAGGGGGAAGCAGATAGTATTGGCCATGCCTAGGGCACCAACACGCAGGTAGCCCGTCCAGCAGGGACAGCCCCTCCCCAAAATGCTGGGGGGATTCAATAGGAACTCACAAATCCCATCCTGCCACCCCAAAACGCTGCAGTGTTTCTGGAAGGTTCTGCCCCGGCAGGGTCGGACCCCCCCATCCTTCCCTCCTGCCGTGGGCACGGCGAGGGCAGCGGTGGCACCGCAGCCCCCTGGCCCCCCTGCCCAGGGGACACAGGGGGTGAGCAAGGGGAGGGCAGCGGTGCTGAGGGGTGAGCAGAAACACCCTGAAATCCCTGGTCCTCCCCGATTAATGGCCTAGGGGACAGAAAGGGATTGGGGTGAGGAACGGGAGCATCAACCCCTCGGCCACGGCGGGGCCAACAGTGGGGCCAACAGCCAGACCCAGCCGGGGAGGGGGCGTCAGAGCCGCAGGGGCCGGCAGGGGTCAGCGGGCTCTCCCCCAAACCCCGACAGCCCCTTCCCGGGACGGGCAGCCCGGCGGGTCCCTGCCACGCTCTGCCCCTGGAGCCCGGGGGGGTTCCCCAAAGGACGGCGGGGGGTTCCCCAAAGCACGGCGGGGGGGTCCCCAAAGCACGGCGGGGGGGTCCCCAAAGCACGGCATCCCCACGGCAGCGTTCCCGTGGGACGGAGCTGTCGCACGTCGTGTCCCCGCGCTCCAGGGCTGGCACGTGCCACAGGCAGGGGGGTGACACCAGCACCTGGGTCCCCCGGGGGTCACCGGGGTGAGACCCCCCCCCCCCCCCTCCCCCCCCCCCCCCCGCCCCCCGGGGGCCCCCCCCCGGGGGGGGGGGGGGGGACCCGGGGCAGCCCCCGCGGGGCCGCGGGCAGCGCCCGTCCCACCCACCCCGCCGCGCCCGGGGCCGCCCCCGGGAGGTCCCGCTCCGTGCCGGTCCCGGTGCTCACTCACCGGGTGCCTTTGTCTCCCATGGCCCCGCCGATCCTGCGGGCTCAGCCGGGCAGCGCCGGCCGGGCTTGGAAAATTACTGGCTGTGCGGCGGCGGGAGCGGCGCGGGGCGGGCGCGGGGCCCGGTGCGGCCCGGTGCGGCCCTGCTCGGGCCCGCTCGGAACCGCTCGGGCCGCCTCGGCAACGCTCGGAACCGCTCGGCTCGGGCCGGGAGGCCGGCGCTCGGGCCGGTTCGGAGGCGCTCGGAACCGCTCGGGCCGGTTCGGAAGGGCTCGGGGCCGCTCGGAGGCGCTCGGGGCC